AAATCCTTTGATATACGCTCGCCAAAATTTAAACGACAAAACTGCGTCCAGCCGTGAATTAGACGCTGAATTGGAAGTCGTAGTCGTAGTCGACCGTACTCGTTCCCGGCCTTGACACGTCTCTTGGTAATATATTTTCTTTGCAGTCAGTGTAATTCCAGTGAAGAATCCATGCGTAGATAAAGTGCCAACGTAGCAATCGAGCTTGTACTTGAAAATAAACGGCTTGATAGAAACTAAGTAGGCGACAAAACTGCTCCATCCTAACATGACAGCAAGTGTCACTACGAAGTAGATCAGCGTTCCTCGAATCAATTTTCTAAGGCAAAGCCACACCGTTGGCTTGGAGTCTGGCGCTTCCGTAAATCGTAGCGGCAGCATAATTGGAATGCGAGCTACCAGCATTATGATACAGAAAGTAATGGTTGCCCACATTGAATTCGCGACCATCAACTCGCTTCTTGACTGATCTTGAGAGGGTTTTCCAGAGAAGATATTTCCAAGTGAATAACACGCATTGGCAAGCCATGCACATGCAACACTCCCAAATGCATTCCTCAGTACAATTGCCTGTGTCCTCAAAGCGTTCATCCATTTGGCACGTTTGCCAAGATTACTTTTAAAGTTGAGCAGCCTCTGACGTGGTCGATTGGAATCTGCGGACAACTGTAACGCCGTTTTAGAGACTCGTATTGCGCCTATTCCTTCGTTCAGCTTTGATGAGGCTCGACGTTGGCGCTTGACAGGTACATCCACTCCGGCGCGAGTCATATAGAGTCACAATGTAAATGCTGGACTCAAAGCAAGGAGTCTCTATTCATAAACAATATTTTTAGACTCAGAATAAGATTAAGCTAAGTTGCCACAGAATCCAGCCAACTTAGCCTCTCGTGCAATATATATAGGTATTGAACTCGCAAAGGGAGACTACTGTAGAAGTGATTGATAATTACTGATCGAACAAACTCTATCACTGGGCAATTACGCTCTCGATTTTACTGTATCAACTTGACACGGACCAACAGTAGATCAACATTCCTGGATTACACCATGGTTTAATTATTATTATGTCTATCGTGCTCGAAATGAAGTCGGTATTAAATCCGACGAAAACTTTTTTTAGGTTCTGTTTGTGACGAGCATGACAATTTCGTCTTAGAGTTAAGAATGTTAGCAAGCGAAATATTACAAGTAATACAGTACATTGAAGTACATCTAACTTAGTAGAAGAACCTTGATTTTAGGGTTTATGAAATCCGGCATTTGAATTCACGTTTGTATTATATATTGCCGACTAAGATCGCGAAAAAAATATCCTCTCACGACGTATGCATTATAATATCGATTTGGAGGCATTGCGAAGAAGCAAGGGGGCAGTAATTAAACTTCAGATCGCTCCACGTTGACGTTATACTGAATCACAACTAGAATAGGAACCTAAAACCAGTTTTTTTTGTCAGCAGTAAGTTGTTTGCTTAATTTTTGAGAACTGATTTTTATTTAGGAAGTAGGATAGTTTTCTTACTGGATTGTTCATGACATCGTAGATATTTGCGATGTCAGCATTTCTGCTCGTACTTGCATGAAAAGCATTATTTGGTATAAAAAAGGTGTGTCGACAACAAGCAATACTCAATAATATGCGGCTATTTTTGCTGTGGCCGTCCAATCTGAAGTATCAGACTAAGTGGTGCCATGCCCCGCGTGGAAGTTGCTAGCGGGGACGATGTTGTCAATGCGTGTTCAGCAAGGATCAGTTCGATACAAGCTACCGGTATAAATGAGCCACGTGCAATCTATTCGCAGTCGCACATTGGAAATTCACCGTGCATCTTCTTCTCCAAAGTACGTTTAACATGCACTAAAGCGCTGAAAGTCCAGATGATTGTTGTGCGGAATGCTGCTGGAAGCATCGCGTGTGCGTGGCTGACCAATGCTTGCTACTCTACTGGAAATATATTTCTTGGAAAACCATCACATCTCCAGTCGAGGGGCGAGCTCATCGTTGCAAATTCTGTGTGGGCAGCCATCGCCTTCTGTACGGTTGTTTTCGCGTCCCATCTGCCTCTGTTGCTCTCGCTACGCTTTCTTGACGCACCTGATCGTCCGCCGTCTGTATGGTACTGTCTTAAGAGACTTGCACGAGCTACATTCATATTTTTCATTGCTGCTATTATCGCTGTGCTTGGCTTCAGCTATCTCGCAATTTATCTATCCCAAGTTAATCCTGCCACACTAAAATACAAGATTGAGGGCTACGCAGACAATTTGTCGCTGCTAATTTATTTTACTGGAATTACTCGAGAGATGAAGAATATTTACTATCAAGAAACGTGCCAAGGTCGTGATAAACTCAAAGCCAAGAGGAGAAAATCGCGAAAGTCCTTTCTATCAGCACGGGTATCATCAAGTGTCACACCTCAGTCTGCAGAGTCATCTTTAACTATTCGTCGCTCTCCCGTATTTTGGAAAGCTTACATTAAAAAGCTACCATCGGCTACTCCCCCAATTCTGGCGACTGCGTTTGTCCACATACTCAGTCGGCAGAGGATAGT